TCAAGTTGCTCTTTCGTCAAAAGTTCACATGCATTCCTCTTGTAGATTTTCATGCTTCTTCTTCCTGGGTCCAAATTCTATTACTTCAGAGTGTTTGGGAAGGTCAGAGAAACTAGCAGAGAATAGACGGCGACATATAAAGGAAGTCAAAGAGTCCCATAAAATGTGCAAGGATAAATCTGCTCATGCATGCATTAGGCAACTGTCTTTCCCTCGGCTCAATGGTGCATGAGAATCGAATATTTCAATATTCTTTTTAGGTCTAACTAAGATGGAATGAATTGATCAGTGATCTCAATGGAGCCTATGACCAATATGGGCCAGTTACTTGTGGAAAAAAACCGTCCTTTTTATGATTTTCGTGCGGTATCTGAACTCGTTGATTAGGATTGGTAAAAATTAATCTCCCCTAACATTCAGCAACAGAGAGTCAGTTAGATATTTCAAAGCCCAGCTACTCTCGATTTAATTAGCTACATAATTGGGAATTAGCAACTACTTGAACCAAACTAAAATGTGGCCACCGAATTTGCCATCCTCGTGTCATTGAAATCACATGAAGAAATGGCAGCTATACCTGAAGGCTGATTGCAGGATAGATTTAAAGGTCATGAGTGCAGGATAGATTTAAAGGTCATGATTCTTTTCCCGGAAAAACTGAGCAAAAAGCTCATGAAGCAGGTGCACTGTGCATTTGGATATCTTTGCAACCATGATGAGAATATATTCCAATTTGGGCAGCTAGCTCTATGAGAAATGAAAGGTCATGTGGTTGAGGCAAATTGATCATGGTGAAGCCAAATAATGTAGCAAATCTGAATCAGATTTTTATTCTTTCGCTGGTTATAAATAGGATGTCAAAACCATCACATTTCCAGCGTGAATACAAGAGGAAGAGAAACCTAACATCAAAACAAGAGTTGTTGGCTATCCGAGGACGGCTTGCCTGGTCCTAGCAATTAAGGTCATGTCCTGGACAAAGTAGGCAGAAACCCGCATTGCGGGTTTCAGGCAGTCTTCTTGGCTAGGTTGACAAGCTCTTCTTTGTTATGCCAGGCCTTCTCTTCTAATTCAGGCCACCATGCCATTCACTCCATCTTGGTGTCATTTCATTGGAGGATGAATTTTTGAGAGGAAGTCAAGTCTTGCATGAAGATAAGAGTCGTGTTTGGTAGCCAAGGATGACTTGCCCACTCCATTGAAAGAGTTTTTCAAGCATATGGTGGTGTAGATCTTTTCTTTGTTTCTGGGCAGTCGTCTTGGCTATGCTGACGGACTCTTCTTTCTCATGCTAGACTGTCTCTTCTTACCTGGCAACCGGCAAGTCCTCTGCATCAACTTGGAGCTCCAACTGAGTTCATGCAGCTATTCCATAACACGTTGCAATTAAGTGTGCTCTGAAAATCAGCAGTTAAGAAATTGCAAAGGACACGTATTGTTTATGGCATCTGACTAATTCTTCAGTTCAACAATTAAAATTGATATTAAGAGACTTGATCACGGATTTTGGCACTTTTAAGGGTTTTTTTTTTTCATCAAAAGATTTGTTGGACTTTGAGAGGATAAATAACTAAATAAATTGAGGTCGTAAAAACTCGAATTTACTTCACTAAAAAGACCATCGAATATACAACCATTAGCCTATATTTATCTAGGTTTTACACACTTAGTTTAACTATAATGTATTTTACCTATTTCTTTATCTTCTTTTTAAAAATGATGTATTTATTTTCTATCAATTGGGATCCTATAGTTAAGGGAAGCGATTTTTTCATTTGTCGAAGCCTTGGATCTTCCAAAATAAAATCTACAAGAGCTAGTTTTGTTATTTTTTGGATTTATTATTTTTATTTCAGATTTTATTTTAATGTTTTTTAACTTCAGGTTGTTTCCTAATAAAAACAGATTTTCTTAATCTATTTAAAAATCTTATATTTTTCTTGAGAAAACAATCATCATATACTTAAATTTTATATAATAAAAATATGAATTGAAAGTTTACATGTATAATTTTTTTTGCTCATTATAATTCTTATATTATGGCAGTCCTATCATTAGCTTCCGTCTATATCACTACTGGAAACACCGTGGAAGGATATTAAAAAGGGTATGATACTCGACGTTATACGTTTCACAAGAGCACTTCTTTCAAGTCTTGCATATAAAACTCCATCTTTTGTGAGTACTTATCTTAATAAGATTTTGTTCTTTCCTTCTCATGTAAGTTCAGCATCAATGCTTTATCTTATTAGGAAAATACCAAGAGCAAATAGTTAGACAAAGGAACGAGATCATGGAGATGTGGCTTACTAATTTTAGCAAGAGGATTTGCCAGCTAATTGAGCCTCGGCTTCAGTTATCCTGGCTAATTTGACGGGCGCCACCTTAATAACAAGATATATAATTATTGATACTAACCATATTTACAAAATAATAATAAAAATAAAAATAGGAAAGAGAATAAAATGCAGCAATAATAGGCCTACAATCTGAAATGTTAGAGCGTTGGTATGCTTTCGCACAAATATTGTGTAAATTCAAATTTTGGATAACCTAATATAAAATTTGTTAACTATCAATACTCATTTGCAGAACACGACCAGAGCTATTAACTTGATAACTTTATGGTGGAATGTGGATCACAAAAAAGAAATTAGACGACACGGGGAACTAAATAATAATCTCATTAACAACTAAAAAGAAGATAAAGGGTAAGCAAAGCCTCTTATTTAGTGTTCGTTTTTAAGCTTAAATTGTGCTTTTTTTATTTTTTATTGTTTTAATATAATAATATAAAAATGAATTTTAAAAAATAAAACAATATTATTTTATAATATTTCTAAATAAAAAAAAATAAGAGGGCATGCCTAGATGAAAAGGGCTTGAACCTATCGTGCCTATGGGCTTGCTGCGCGGTATAAATATGATTTAGATTTTAGTCCCTGTGTTTATGCATAGTTAGACTTTAGTCCCTGTGCTTTCAAAACCTACTATTTAACCCCGATGTATTGTACATGTAGCTATCTTTCAATCAAATAAGAACCTCATTTTCATTGTTATTCCAAGTCACTGAATAGTGCTTTCAAGTTGGAAACTTTTAAATATTTTTATTAATTATGTCTTAGTAATTTATCTTCCTACTCAATAAATTAATTAATTATTATGTAATATACTGATTATTAATATTATTATAAACATTGTTTTAAAGCCTACCTAGGGATTTAGGCTAGGTTGAGCTTGAACAAATATAAAAAAATAAAAAAAGGATTGACTTATTACAATATAGTCACAAATTCGAGTTGATCCATGAACTAATCAAGGCTAGGTAAAAACCAATAAAAAGTCATTGATTTATCCTATTTGATAAATTAATTAATTATTATGTAATATACTAATTATTAATATTATTATAAACATTGTTTTAAAGCCTACCAAGTGATTTAGGCCAGGTTGAGTTTGAACAAAAATAAAAAAATAAAAATAAAAAGAGGATTGATTCATTACGATCTAGTCATAAATCCGAGTTGACCCATAAACTAATCAAGCTAGGTAAAAACCAATAAAATTCATTGATTTTTTTTTTAATTTTTTCTCAAAATAATGTTATAATTTATTTTTTATAAAATAAAAAAATTAAACTGGCATGAATTGACTATCAACTTGCCAAACTCAATGTTTATCCCAAATCAAGTTTAAAAACTTTAATTATGCAATCACAACACAAAATATATACTATATTTTTTTAAAAAAATAAATATTATTCACTTAAAAAAAAATAATAAGTTAATATAAACCATAAAGAACCATTTCATCTTTTTATAATTTAGCTAATTGTTCCATAATTATTATGATAGTTTAAAAAGTTAATTATTATTTCAACCGAAAAGATTTTTTGTTATCTCAGAGAAGAATAAATATTATTTGAATCATTTTTAATTGACTATGAATTAATAAAAATTTAATCTTATTGCATTGTAAATGTTATTTTATTATTTCATAAACTTAAAAACACAGTAGTTATAACGCCATAAAGGTGTGGCAACAAGAGCTCCTTTAGAAAACCTGTGGAAGTTATTTTTAAAGCATTTTTATATAAAAATAATATTTATTTTATTTTTAAATATTTATTTCTAGTATTAATATAAAAACAGTTATTTTTAAAGCATTTTTATATAAAAACAAAAAAAATTAATTTTTTTTTAAAAACACATTGAAGGTGAGTTTCAGAACGGGAACGAGGGTGGCTTTCACATCGCCCACCCCTTTCGGCCTTTACAGGAATTTGTCTCACAAATTGAAGCCTAAGTCACTGGTAATGTCGTTGCAGGATATCGGAATTCAGCGCGGGTTTTTTCGAAATTTAGTAAAAATAAATTATCAAAACACACTAGATTTAAGAAAATAATACTTTATAATTTTTTCACAGGACCAGATTTTAATTTCATTAGGAGTGTTTGGTATTAAAATACATGATATTTTTTAAAATAACTTTTGCTTATAAAAGTATAAAAATAAGTTTTTTTCTTATTTTTTTTATCAACATATTAAAATTATAAAAAAAATCTAAAATATATAAAAAAAAATCTAAAAATATTAAATATTAAAAAAATACATCTAAAAACAAAAGCTAAACCAAAAACCCAAACAAACCTCAGACTTTAAATAATTTACTCCATAGAAATACCATACGGCCTTTCCTTTTTCACTTTCCTTTCGTGCTAGTGTCGATATCTTGCTTCCGTACCAAGAAGAATTTAGCTTTTAGACATTTTAACTTAAAAAACCGTCAACAACAATAGCTAGTATGTGTTTCCCTTTATTTATTCTTTTTTTTCCCCGTCTCTAGAACTGAAAGGGGAGAAGGCTGGAAGCGAGTGAAAGGTTCCTTGCTTTTCTGTCACCTAATATTTGTGCCCATGATTTGTTATTTGACACGATGAGGATTTTGGTAGCCCGCCAGAGAAGAGAGAGATTACATGTACTTAAAAACGACAAGGAAGGGGGAGCAGAAGACCTCGAATTACTTTATTTATGGTTTACAAATGCATTGCAGATGATAGTTGGTAGGACATGGCATCGTTATAGTTTCTGTGAAGTCGGCATTGCTAGAGAAACTCCACCACCACCTGGTAGATCCTTCCATTGCTGAGTTATTGTTTTGATCTGGGTGTAGAAATTAACACCAGCCTTGCCTGCAATTATTTATAAAAAGAAAAAAAAAAAAACCATCTCAAGGATGTTTACATGGCCGCCAACTTTATACAACCAGCATGTTGGTGAAGAAAATAAGATCGTAACAGTTTCAAAATGAAAGAGCAAGGCTTTAGAGGACGTATGCATTACCATAGAAGTTGAGATCGCCAGCAAAAGATGCCTTGGAGCCAGTAAAAGAGAAAAATGGCAAGGGAACTGGTATAGGAACATTGATGCCAACCTGGATAGCAGCTAATTATGTTAAGCATGCATGCATTTTCCAAGGTGCCTATTTCAACAAAATATGAAAGTTAAATTATCCTGGAAGTAATTTTCAAAGTTCCTCGTGTGGTTTGAGCTATCAAATCTTGGCATAGAAAGAGTGATCAGTAGAGTGGGGAGCTAAAATTGCTGCCCTTAACAGATAAATTATGCAGTTGTATCCATTAAATATTCTTTGATGATTGTGCAGTGTTTCTTCGTTTCTTTACCTGCCCAGCCTCTATCTCAGTTTGGAATTTCCTTGCAGCAGCACCAGATGTAGTGAATATGGCAGCTCCATTGCCATATCTGTGACAAAAATATTACAAACATGAAAACCAGATATACTTCATGGAAGGAAAAATGATAACACAAGCAAATGAGAAGTCATAACAAAAAAGTACTTATTTCTGTTCACGAAGTGGATGGCTTCTTCAAAGCTGTCAGCCTAAAGTTACAAGAAAGAAGTTAATTCATTGCCATGCTAATCGATCAGAGGCCTAATTATCATAGAAACACAAAAGGAGTATTTAACCCACCTCCACGCAAAGAAGAACTGGGCCAAAAATTTCCTCCTGCAAAGGAAATGTATGGAGAGTAGATCAGTCAATTTTTCACCAAAATTTTAAGTCTACATCTTCATACACTTATGAATTTAATAAATTATAGATTTCTTGGAGTATGATCTACAAAATCACTTTAAAAAAACCTTGTAGCAATCCATATCAGCTGTGACACCGGATAAGATGGTGGGACCAATAAAATTGCCATCCTCGTATCCTGGAACCTGTTTATCACCAGAAACAAATTGGTAAGCAGAACAGTCTCTTTTCGGTTAAAACTTAATTGAGAATAAAGGATATAAAAGGAGCAAAAGCACCCTTCCAAGGAGGAGGAAAGAAAAGGCACAAAGCTAATTTAAAACTGATGGATGTTTGAGATTAACAAATGCTGGACTCGAACTCAGTACCTTATCCATCTTGCTTTACAAGAGAGCCAATGCTACAAGACTACTGGTCCTAATGTATTTTCAGTTCCTTACTACAAAGAGAAATGCTATTTGCTCTTCCAGCAATTACTAAATTAATCCATCATTTCCACTATATTCCATGCTTTACAAATGCTGGACTCAAACTCAGTACCTTATCCATCTTGCTTTACAAGAGAGCCAATGCTACATGACTACTGGTCCTAATGTATTTTCAGTTCCTTGCTACAAAGAGAAATGCTATTTGCTCTTCCAGCAATTACTAAATTAATCCATCATTTCCACTATATTCCATGCTTCTGGTCTGACATGCATATTTAGGTGGGTTTACTCAACATTATATAAAAAAGAAGTATTGGGTCCCATCAACAAAACAAAGATGCAATAAAATACCACTATATTTCTTCCATCAAGCAGAAGTCTGGCACCACTTTCGACACCACTTTCAATTAATTTGCATACTCGTTCCTTGGCCTGCAAAAACAGAGAAAATTTCCAAGTAAAAGTTTGATCATGGTGGTGCAGAACCAGGTTAAGAATAATTCTTAAAGATACCTGTTTGCTGATCACTGGACCAAGGTCTGCATCAGGTTCTGTTCCTGCATTTACTTTTAGAGACTTTGCACATTCCACCAGTTTATTCTCCCTAGAAAAGTTTGAAAAGGTTCTATGTTATACAGTTACGTCTCGGCCAATCACCAACTTACTCTTATTTTCTAATTTTATAAAATATGGTAAAAGTTTGCAAGGGGATGTGATCTATGTACAACTGTGCAAACAGTGATAAAGGCTAAATCTTGTGTGCGGCCTCAGAACCCACCTACACAGACAAATGCCTCCCTAACTAACATGATGACATGCATGAGCCAACTCTCAACAAAGGAGCTGTGTATTAGCTGTGTCCTATTCTGGCTACTAAAACTGATCCAGATTCCTTGACATGGCTGAAAAATCATTCTCTCAACAGCATTTTCCTTTGCAGCTAGCTAACTGACAGCAGATTATTTGAAAAATCCAGCTAGAAGTTATTAAGTCAACGACTTGTGGATTTTAATTGGAAACAAACTTACCATGACTGTGAGTCTCCAACAAAAACTACAGTGCTCAGTGCCATACATCTCTGTCCCGCTGCACCAAAACCAGCAGCAACCAAGGCATTCAAAGTGGCATCAGTGTTGGCATCAGGTAAGACGATTGCATGGTTTTTAGCTCCCATGTTGGACTGCACAAAAGAATCCACATAGCCAGTTAATTCCAACCTCCAACCATTGTGAAGAAGTCATATTGATCCCAAGAGACTGAATAGTTATTACTAAAGAAATGATGTGAACTCACTTGTACACGTTTTCCTTTAGCTGATGCCCTTGAATATATGTGCATTCCAGCCTGTGAATATGATAACAAAACATCAAGTACTAATGTGACTATCAGGTAGATACTAACATATCAATTTTGCAGAAAAATGCAATTATCTCCAGAACGTTGCCCACCCAAAAATAGCAAGAGAATAATTTAAAGGTTATCCACCTAAAAACTAATCTTGTTCAGGATCTTCATTTTTCTCAGAATACTTGAGGAGTGAAATGTAAGACAAAAAAACATTAATTAGGAAAACCTGGATATCGTGCCGAGTAACTTACAGTATTAGAGCCCACAAATGATATAGCTCTAATGTCGTCGTCATCACAGATAGCATTAACAATATCCTGCCACAAATAGAAACATGTTATAAAAACAATGCTGTAAAAGACAAATCAATAAATGAAAACCACAAGTCCGTATCATAGGTATAAATAACTACAGCAAATATAATTGTTTTTCCACTATTTTTCCACTATGTCACAGCCCTTTAATTATGTAGATTTACTAAAAACTCTGCAAATGAAACTCCAAATCTTACTAATTTAGAATCAATTAAACAAAATCCTATTTGTCAATATTATTTTCTTAGGAAGCTATAGCTAATAAATCACAATAGAGATTAATTAGCTAAAAAGAGCTTATTAGCAAAATCATACATTGGTGCCATGAACAATATTTAAGACACCATTAGGTAAACCGGCCTCCATTGCCAATTCCGCAAGTATTATAGAAGCACCTGTTTCACCACCGGAGAACAAAGTTACTGCTATGTATAAAAGTATGATGATTGATTCTTTTGCGCAGAATATGCCTGGATTTGGAACTATGATTAGTGAACATCTAGGCAGAGACTGCCTTTGTCCCAGACCAATGCTGTTTGCCTGAATTTTCCAGGACTTTCAAAACTACATTTCTTCACATTACTAAAAAATGCAAGAGAAAGCATCCTATTGATATGCCAGGTGCAATTTTCAAATCTTTGAACAATTTCCATTAACTATTCAAAGTGGAAAGCTATTTTTAATAAGAGCAAAAAGAAAGGCAAACACCATTTATGACAGGAGCAGAAAATCTGACACAGGATTCAAGCTTCCAAACACTTTTCTTATTGGATAAAAGAGGTCACCTGATGGAAAGTCCCACAATTATTGGCCAAAGGTGCTTCCAATACCCATAGGAAGCTATTACATTATCAGTGTAACCAACTTCTAAAAGCTTTTATACCACATATCTATGACCAGAGAAGATAGGAAGTATCTCTCTTGCCTGAATATAGCACAACTTGGTACCATGAAGAGGTGCTCCAAACCTTATACACAAAGTACAAGTAAATTCTCACCGGGATCTTTCTCCGATGGCTTCAAGACAAAGGTATTGCCACATGTAACTGCAACAGGGAACATCTGCAGCAAAAAAGGTCGCATACACATTTTTAAATTACTTTTTTTCTTTGAGAACTCAAGATTTGTTCACAACAAGAGAATCCTTTAAATGTTAGTACAGTTGTGAAACATGATCAACTTCAAGATGAAGCTAAAAGTTGGCCTGGTTAACTGCATGTTTTCATCTTAACAGCAAAATTTAAGTTCCACCTTTGTGATAATGAGATATGCAGGCATCGTAAATGCATGGAAAAAAACAAATTGTGAAGAAGAATACTGAAGGCTTACCCATAAAGGAATCATTGCTGGAAAGTTGAAAGGGCAAATCCCAGCACATACACCAAGTGGCTCTCTGATGCTAAAGGTATCAATTCCATTTGCCACATTTGGGACATACTCTCCCATCTGCAAAGTTGCCATTCCACAAGCATGTTCCACCACCTCTGTATGAGAAAACAATCAAAATTGAGAAAGCATAGAAGCAATCGACTGCAATCTTTTCACCGAAAGAGATTTTAGGAAAGGGAATAAAAGATAGACTAACCTAGCCCACGGAAAACATCTCCATGAGCATCCTTCAAGGTCTTCCCCTGTTCAGTAGTGATATTCATCGCTAGCTTATCCTACAACAAGATCAAAGTGATTCTAATCATCAAACAAAAGCCAATAAAAAATAATACGAATAAAACGCAGTAACATACGACAGAACAAATTCTAGTATGCTTACAGTGTCTCTACGAATAAGCTCTTGAAGCTTGAGCATGACACGCTGACGGGTAGTAATTGGCGTGTTACGCCACGCCGGAAAAGCATGCTTTGCTGCAGAGACTGCAGCTTTGAACTCTTCATTCGTCGTCAAAGGAATTTGTGATACAACTTCTTGTGTTGCCTATCCCCAAATTTCAATCCATTAAACCCACCCAAAACCACAACAATTTCCAATAAACAAGAGAAAGAACATTATAAGTTCATATACTCACGGGATTTATCACATCAATGGTTGAAGATGATTGCGAATCAACGAACTTTCCTCCAATAAGATTCGGGACTCTCTGATACAACAAAAAAAAATCAGAAAAACGAGATGAAGAAAGCAATAATAATCTTGTATAAATTAGATAAGTGAAGTAGAGTTTCTCAAGCTTTTGAAGAACTTTCTAAGAGACCAAACAGACCATAAAGCATCGTATATACACCGTATGTATGTATAGATTTATACAGAGTGTATTACCGGAGGGCTACGGAGGCTTGAAGAAGGCTCAACAACACCAGTGGAAAAATAATAAGAGCTTCTCAAAGCAAAGATCGAAGGCTTCAAGGCCTTTAGATTTCTCGCTGAAATAAAAAACCAAAGGGATCAAAATAAATCAAGATTCCTTGTAACACGGCTTAAATAACTGATTGATGATTAGTTATGAAATAATTTTGCGCGAGTTTCTTACCTCGTTGAATCGAGATTTTAAGAGGCAACATGGTTTTTTTTTGTTTTTTTGGGTTTTCTACTTTGATTCAACGATTTTTATGTTCTTAGGATAAATGTTTTTTTTTATAAGATATATATCCGTTTTTTGCATGCTAGTATAGAGTGATTGGTGTTGTGACCAGCAGACGGGTTGAGATTTGAAGGCAATGATTTGTTGGGATGTGAGCCGATGGATTGGAGTTACGTGTTATCTGACGGTGGAGATTCAAAATTACTTTATGACGTGGCAGTTATATTAGAAAAAGTTTTCCTAATTTGCCTTGTTTTAAAAAAAGGAAAATGTTAACATACAAATAAATTCACTTGAGCAAAGATTTTATCAAATGCAGATTTGTAAATATAGAAAGAAAAAGGTCTTATTTAATTGATATTCTTCAACACTTTGCCTATACCCATCATTATTGTCACCTCTGCAATATCTTACATACCCACTAGGTTTGAGATTTGAAGACAATGATTTGTTGGGATGTTAGCTGATAGATTAGAGTTACATGCTATCTGACTATGGAGATTCAAAATTACTTTATGACGTGGCTGTCATATTAGAAAAAGTTTTCCTAATTTGCCTTGTTTTAAAAAAAGGAAAATGTTAACATACAAATAAATTCACTTGAGCAAAGATTTTATCAAATGCAGATTTGTAAATATAGAAAGAAAAAGGTCTTATTTAATTGATATTCTTCAACACTTTGCCTATATCCATTAGTGTATCCAAAAAGAAAAAATAAAAAATTATTTAAATGATGATTAAATAGTAAAAATTTAAAATTAAAAGGTTTACTTTCTTTGTAGTTTTATGTTCGAGTTGGTTACTTATATTATGACTACTAGAAATTTATATAATTGTTAATTTTAGGACCCGTGGAATTAGTTATGGTACGTGTAAACTCGTCCGAATATCTACTTTAATCTAAAAATAAAAATAAAAATAAAAATAAATAAATATATATAGAGAGAGAGATATTCTTCAACACTTTGCCTATACCCATCACTACTGTCACCCTCGCGATGTCTTACATATTTACTAGGTTTACAGGGTATTCAATGGGTCGTGAGGATTAGTCGTGGTGCGCGCAAGCTGGCCCGGACACCCCACGTAAATAAAAAAAAGAAAAAAAGAAAAAAGAAAAAAAATTATTTAAATGATGGTTAAATAGTAAGAATTTAAAATTAAAAGGTTTATTTTCTTTGTAGTTTCATGTTCGAGTTCTTAGTTACTCATATTATGGCCACTAGAAATTTACATGGTTGTTAATTTCAGGATCTGTGAGATTAGTCGTGGTACGTGCAAGCTGGCCCGGATATCCACGTTAATCTAAAAATAAAAATAAAAATAAATATATATATATATAGGGGTGCTTAGGAGCATTTAATTATTTTTTAAAGTATATTTTGTTTGAAAATATATTTAAATAATATTTTTTATTTTTAAAAAATTATTTTTTAATATTAATATATTAAAATGATTAAAAAACTAAAAATAATATTAATTTAAAATTAAAAATAAAAATATTTTTTTAAAAAATACTTTTCAAATATAAACGGGCATCCAATGTCCCAATCCGCAGGGCAAGCTAGCAACCAGCAGGAAAAGAAGAGAAGAGAAGGAAAGGAACAAATTTTACTCCCTCCTATCAGCGGTGTTGGTCCCGCTTTCTATTTTTATTTGTCTCATTGGGAACTTTTATTAGTCCGTCCAAAAAGCATGTTTAGAAAAAATATATAAATGAGTTTTTAGTATAATTTATACAAATCTATAATATATATTAATTAATCAAAAAAATTAAATAGTTAAGGCAAATTGTAATTTCAAACAAACCATTTTCCCAAATAAAATCTTAATTAACATTTAAAAAATATATTTTACTACAATATTTTTAATTAAAGTTCATTTATAAATAACAGATAATTAAAAATTATTCTTAAAAATAATAATATTGATTATTAAACAATAACGTTATTAAATATGTGTTAAAAATAAATTAAAAAAATTGCAATGTTTTTGAGATAAGGGAGGAGCGAATCTTGTTTTTTGCTTCTGTTTGGTCAAAACAATATATCATTTCATGAAGAAGTTGATTTGACAGAAAAAGCCTCCATTAACAAAGCGGACTTGCACGCAACAAGCAAGTCAATAAACAGTAGCTCAGCCACATCCGTCTCGTAAGCTAATCTGAATATACACATTAATAAAATAAGTTAAAGATACTGCTGCGTTTCGTACTCAGCAGTTGGCAAATTCATCCTGCAATCCACATTGAAGAGCTGGTAGGGAGAATTAATGCCCCTTGTGGTAAAATTCGGTTTAAAAACTCTTAAGAAAAAAGGAGGAGAGCTGACCTACTTAAAATCCGAGGAAAGGTGATCCAAAACTACTCCAACCATAGAACCCCAAGAAAGAAAAGCTTCATCTCCCTTTATATCATCCAACTAGGGAGCAAGCTAGTGACAGAAACCGTAATCATGCGCATTGGCCGTCCCCACCAGACTCCTTAAAAACCTAGATACATAATTGTCAAAGGAGAAGTTATAATCTGAAGTCTATCTGTTTGCTGTCATGGTCTTGTTATGAAGACACAGATCGAAGGAAGGAAGGCAGCATTAATTGCTTTAAAAACGTCACCGTTCTAAAAGGCCACACAAACGAATCACTGCAGAAGAGAGAGAACCATGGCCCATCACTTCATAGCATTTGATTGAAAATAACCTCATCACCACCTATAGCTCCGCATGGAAGAAACAACCAGGCAAACATAGAGAATGAAACCACACTCTGCCAGGACCCAAAGGCGAGATTGATTATAAACAAAAGGTACAATCTCGCCCTAGTCCAGGAAGGTAAATAATAATAATAATAATTTAGCAATTTCTGTCTCTTCTCCCTGCTATTTCTGGAGCAGTCTCTATGTAGGATGGTATCTAGGAGCTTGGCAACTGGTGAGATGACGAATCGTCACTCACTAAATCTCTCCATTGTTGAGTCACTGTTTTAACTTGGGTGTAAAACTGAATTCCAGCTTTTCCTGCGGCAGTTTATGAAACTCTGCTTTAAAACTTCAGAAACTAAGATCCCCTAAATGTGAAAGCTCTTCAAATAGGTGGCAATTCACATAGAAATCATCCAAACCACACATATTTACCGTCAAAGCTGACATTTCCAGCAAAAGATGGTTTTGCGCTAATAAACGAGGAGAATGGCAGCGGAACCGAGACAGGAACATTTATCCCAACCTGCAAAAATTCCAGTTATAGGAAATTGTTTCAGATTTCCAACCAAAAAAAATCAGTCAAACATAAAAGGAGTCACAAACAAATGTTTCACACGGGCAGCAATACTTCAGAAACTAAAGCTTTGCAGATTGGAGTAATCTTATTTCAAAAAAATTAAAAATTAAAAAAAGGACAGCAACATGCGAGGCCTTGATAGTGAAACACAAGTCATTCAGATGAAGGTTTCACTGTCTCTTCATCTTTTACCATTAAAAGCAGACCCATGACAGGCTGCACAGGACTATCTTACCTGCCCAACCTCAACCTCAGTCTGGAATTTCCTTGCAGCGACGCCAGATGTTGTAAATATAGAAGCTCCATTGCTATATCTAAAAGAAAGAATCAGGCATAGACCATGAGACAAGTATTCAATACATTCCAATTCTATGCATGTACTGGGAGAAAGTAATAGTTGAAATTACTTATTTCCATTAACAATGTTTATAGCTTCTTCGATGCTATCAGCCTGAGAGACAAGAAAAACACGTGTTAATGTCCTGGACTAAATAACTGGTGAGACAAATAGTAGGATGGATGGGTAGCAGCAAACCTGCATACAAAGAAGAACTGGGCCAAAAATATCCTCCTGCACAAGCAATAAGCCTCATTTAGTTTATGATGCAGTCAAGCTTGCTGGAAACCATCCAAGGTCACTTCTGTAAATATCACATAAACTACCTTGTAACATTCCATGTTGACTGTGACATCCGATAAGATGGTAGGACCAATGAAGTTCCCATTTTCATATCCTGCAACCTAGCATTAATAAATGGACTGAATTATAAAAAAATGATCGGCTTGATCATTTAAAAACTCCGGAGCAGAACACAATTATTGGCAAGCTTCTCAGTATTGCTTAAAGCACATCACAGCTTTCATTTAAAATTCAAAACATTCATGCAGGATCCATTATAAATAATTTAACTATTTAAACTGTGAAAATCATGTGCAGATGTAAATTAAACCAAATTATCTTATCTTATTGTTGATAAAAAGAACACATACTATAAATTTGAGCAAAAGCTTATCAAGAAAACTGTTGAGATCATAGAAGACAACATAAAACTAGATACCACAATATTTCTTCCATCAAGAACTAGCTTTGCACCACTTTCAACACCTGTTTGAATCAATGTGATTATCTGTTCCTTTTCCTGTTGAGTAAAAAACAATATTGATGAATAACAAAAGTCACTAGTTGGAAATATACATGAAGAAAGTGAATTTCTCATATACACAGCAGAAGCTGCAAACTCTCTCAAATATCGCATAGATGATGGGACATTTCTCATGATCAAAATTATTATATATCAATAACTTCAATTACTCTCTCTAGAATGGAAAACTTGATAGGTCAGGAATCTGACTCTACTATGCACCTGCTTACTAATAACTGGACCAAGCTCCGCATCCGGTTCTGTTCCAGAGGTTACTTTAAGTGCCTTGGCATGCTCTACTAACTTCTCTTCCCTGGCAAAAAGGTCTAGCAAACTCAGTGAAGGAAATGCCAGTATCCTCTACTGAATCATAATTGGGAAAAAATAAAGGAATAAATTTACAAAAGAACGTAACATTGTAACATATATCTGATATCTATTGTTTCATTCACTACCTTCGTTTGAGAAAATTCACCCCATACCTTTCAAACATTTTGCTTAGGCAAAAGTTCTTTTTTAAGAAATGTAACCTCAAAATTCAAACAAGGTTTTATTAAACTTAAAGGATATTACTATTGTTTTCACGATAGGGGTGCACCTGGAACAGCAGTTAAGCAGCCAATAAATCATTTCCTAGACATCCCATTGAAGGAAGGGGGTAAACAATGACATGATCGACTACCAA